TAATTCAATATGGGATTCCAATAAGGCCTTATATAAGGTACAGAGAAGAACGAGGCTACTGTGATATCTCAAAAAGGCTTAGAAATAGTTAAAAGAACATTACGTGATTTATGTCATACAAATATCCATTTTAGTAATAAATTAATTGTTTTAGCAGGCAATTTCAGACAGAACTTTCTAGTTTGAATAATAGTAGTAAAAGCATTTGTTGTAACAAATTATTAAATCATCATACCTTTGGTCATTGTTTCGTATTCTAAAACCTAATAACATCTATATTCGTTTGTTTAACAAAACATTTTCAAAATAATTATTAGATATGAAAGAAGAATAAATTAAATCATTTCAATTACCAAGTAAACAAAAACAACTTGTGTTTATTCCGATATTTTTGTTAAAGATATTAAGTTTCTAATAAATACAGTTATACTTACTTTTAATAACAAATGGACTTATTCTAAAACCTTATATTATCGATATTCATTTGATTGACAAAGCATTTTTAAAATTAATATTAGATATTGGAAAAGGAAAAATTGTATCATGTCAAGTACCGAATAAATGAAAACAACTGATGTTTGTTCCGATATTTTTGGTAAAGATATTAAATTTTCAATAAATACTGTTACAACTTACGTCTTACAACGAACATATTAATATTTTGAATAATGAGATTCTAAATCATGTAAAGAAAGGAATAAAAACATAAAACAGCATGAACATACTACTGACAATTGTTGATAAATCTGGTAATAATAATTATATAAATTTTCTAATTAAATTTGAGCTTGATTTAAAAATTGTAGCAATTGTTACGTTGATCCGAGATTTGAGTATAGTTGACAGCTTATGCAACGATGCAAGATTAAAAATTACGAAAGTACTTGAATACAATATTAAAGTAAAAATTATAACTGGAGAAAAAATTTGATAGAGTTTTTATACTAAAAAAAACTCTTAACGCAAGAAATTCATCATCATTACCTTTTATTTTATACAGAAAACAATTTTCTTTAGTCTTAGAGTTTTTCGTGACTATCAATAGATATCAAGGTCAAAGTATTAATAATATTAAATCATATTTCAAAAATCCACTGTTTTCGCATGGTCAATTATACGTTGCGTTTTCAAGATGCAAAAATGACAATGAAGTTTATATTCAAATAAAAAGTGATGATAATATAAAGATGGAAAAAATCATTTAGAAAAAAGTTTTTGAAGTTAACTAATCTTAAGTAGATTAAAAAAAATTTAATTTCTCTACATTAGTAAAAGTATAAAATTGTCCGAAATAATGTTACTTAATTCATTTAAATAATAAATAAATGTAGTAAATCAATTAAATTATTATTTAAATATTGTTTTCTGAAGATACGCATTATTTGACATGTATTAAAATAGTATGATTTCTATCTTTTCGTGGTAAATAGGGCTACAAGCAAGGTCCATGGTTTAAATATTTTTAAGTTTATTCGTTGTTATTGATTAAGTATAAACATACAATGTCATGTTTTTATACATGTTAGATGATGCAATTAATAAAATTTTAGAACATTTAAGAAAAAAAAACCAGTACACCATAGCACTACCCAATGATGGTATGGAAATGTACCAATGTGCTATAAATCAGGGGCTTTCTTAAAACTGTAAGGAGAGCTGAGACAGAAGGTGCAAATAGTCATATAACTAAAAATGACATGAAAACCGATATAATCTTACCTCATTGAGAGATGCGGCTGAAAGGTGACTGGAGAGGTGGCGGAAGGGACTAAACAAAAATTCAACCCAAAAAAAAAAGGTAAAAACTGACAGTATGAAAATGTGCTAAAAAGTTATACAGCTAAAATAATTATTACATTCGAATAAAAACTAATAATTAAACAAAAAATGACATGATTACTCATATAATTTTACTTTGTTAAGAGATGCTGCGGATAGAAGGCTGAAGACAGTTCTTTTGAATTATAACGGAGGATTATTGGGTTATAAAATTGTGAGGGAGGGGGGGTGAGGCGAAAAGAGGGCTAAAAAAATTTAACACAATAAAAATATAGTTAAAACGGATAGAATTGTACCGTATTTAAAGGGGAGTTCAGAGGGGGGGAAAGAGGAGGGGCTCAGGTGGGCTCATCAAAATTGAGCGGGGGGCTGAGGAGGAAAAGAGAGGGGTGGAGTGGAGATTTGTGCGGAATTACCCTCCAAAATCACTTCATAATGTAACAAGATATATATATATAAATTAAAATTCTG